AAAGTTAATTCAGTGGGTTTTTTTAACACCTTGAACTAAATTAAGTCTGTACTTCAATCAAATCTTGTTTATTTGACTCCACTGTGGTGCTCTATAGAGGCTGTTTATAGACAAGGTCAATGAAAAAGAGAGATTATTGAATTATCTACAGATACAGAGGTTTTGCTCTTTCCTAACGAGCAATATATAAATATACAAATAAATGATTAAAGGTTGGCTAAAGTTTATGAAAAAGAAACATTCAGTTTCGGAGCTTTTAGTTTTGTCACTTCCGCACACAGTTGTGTCTGTCAGGGCCATATCCCTGAACGACAAGAATCTGAGTGGTAATTTTCTCTGGAATTCTCAGAGAGCGTGCTTTATTGTGTGCCATCTGACCCAGTAATTGAATTTTGGATTACATTTGGTCAGCATTATCCTTTGCCTGTGTGATGAATAAAGCTCTAAGCAATAACAGCGTGATGTATCCATCTTTTGTCTTTTAGTTTTCAGACTGTGATGAATCGAATATGTATGATTTCTTAATGGTCAAATAAAAAACACATTTCCCCTCTCTTCTCTATCCACAGCTGTAATTTTGCCCACAATATGGCGTTTCTTGCAGACTCTGGATGCAGCACCTTACTTTCTGGGATTGGTCCTGTCAGCATTCAGTCTGAGTGGCCTACTGTCTGGACCACTGTTTGGCCACTGGTCCGACAGAACCCGATCAACAAAGAAGATCATATTGTTTGCCAACATCTTTGAGATAGTTGGTGAGTCCACAGGTCTTGCATATTTTCTAACACTCAGCAATCCTTCAAATAGGATTCACGTTTGAACCCCAGTTATACTGGGTACTTCTTTTGTACAAGAAACCAAACATAGTTTTTTTTTTTATTCAAATCTTATGACAATTATTTAAGTCTATTCCATATTTACTTTTTATCTTTTTTTACAGGTAATTTTATGTACTTGATGGGATACTCAAAGTGGCTTCTGCTGTCAAGCAGACTGGTAGCAGGTGAGTCTATAATAAGTAAACGTAGAACTGAGAATCATTTTGTTGATTTAATGACTACAAATATGTTAGTCTTACTGAAAAGCATGTTAGTTTAGAACAGTTTAAAAAACTTGATTATAAAAGTTTCAGACTGAAAGTACTTCAGTGATTAGAAAATACTGGGATATATTATTTACTGCAAAATATAGTCCCTGCCTTTGTGATAGTTTCCATTGACACTCATAAATCCTTAACTTGTAGGTCACTAATAGTGTTTACAAGCTACTTTAAATTGAGTCTTAAGGTATGTTTGGTGAAATATACTGCTGAGTTTGCAGCAACTGAGTGTGTTATGATCTGGATATGAGACATTGTTAAGACTTTGTCGAGGTTGGACATAATAGTTGCATAACTGCTGTCACTTTGTTGGGGTAGTCTGGAGAAATTTCAAGAATGCCAACTGTTTCCTTCTTGTCTAAATAGTTCATGTTCACAGTTCTTATTTGGAGCTGTGTTTTGGGTCATTGTTCCATTGTAGGAGGAAATTGGCTCCATGTGGCTCCAATAAATGAACATTCAATGGTACGGCTTGTACTGCAAAAAGTGATAGCATTCCTTTATCCCGTACAAATCCCTCACTTAACATCACCAAGACATTCGTGGGAATAACTTAATAGAGCTGTTAAGATAAGATGAAGACATGTAAGGTGTCTGTTTGTCAGAGTAGACACTTGTTGTCTGGTTTATTGTTTTTTGCTGTTTTATCTTCATTTCTTGCAGTTCCTCAAAGCCTTCAAAAAATTATTTT